CATGGCCCCTGCGCAAGGACGACACGCACAAATCGAGAAGTGTACAGTGACTTTCTCGGGGCTGCGCACGAGGCACTCCCCTGTCTCCGGGCTGAGTGGTCTTGGACTTCGTGGACCTACCCCGGTACACATCCGAGCCATCCATAGCCATCCTGCGCGACACCCCGCGTCCATCAACGTTGGTTTGAAAAATAAACGAAAACTTGTGGAAACGCAGTTGCAGCTGCTGTTGTTGTTGCTGCTGCTGCTGCTGCTGCTGCTGCTGCTGCGAGGAGCTGCCTGATCCGCTGCGAAGTATCCCAAGCTACGTTGCCCGGGACGAGTAGCTTTGTAGTCATGGATCTGGCCTTCACAAGCGTACCAGCGTCAGCCTCGACCTCGAAGCACTGCCAATTCCGCAATCACGGGCGGGTTTGTGTTGTGCTGGTGGCGCCCACCTCGTGTGGGTTTTCCCAGGTTGTTGCCCGAAGCTGTGGCGCATCATGCCCAAGGCAGGCTAGCAGGCCGTGATGCCGTGCTATTTCCAAAGTTGGACAAATTGTTGGTCGTCGTGTATGGTTCCAGTGCCGGGTTTTGTGCATGCTTCACTGCGCAGGCCTGGCCCTTTGGTGGTGGCTAGAAATGGCAAGGCGCCCCGTTCAGCAGGCTTCAATGTGGAAATAGTCATTGAGTAGCTTCTGTTGGGTTGGATTCGGTCTCTATAATCGGTAGTGTAATTAAATTATATACGCAATTGATTTCTGGGGCGTGCCACTGTATTGCGAAGATTGCTAGATAGATTGTTCTCACGGACCTAAAAAAAAAACGTGGTTTTGCCACCGTCGGACGCGGTCCGTGCCTACCTCCTACCCTACCGCTACTCGGAGATTGTTCATTACATCGCGGCACACATACACATGCACACATGCACACATAAACACACACACACACACACACACACACACACACGTAGTCACATACATATGTACATATGTTTGTGCTTGGCAGCGTGTCAAACCCAAAGGTACGAATTTACTTGCGAAAATAAAACATACATGGGTGACACTTACACCAATATACGACGACAGCGCCGGCGACGTGAAGAGTATCCCTTTGTTATAAGTGACAATGTTTGACAATATGGTTGTGCTGGCTCTTAATTCATTATTTTCACTTTTTGTCGTGTTGTTACTCTTGTAATTGCGACGCTCAGTACTAATTCGCCCTGAGCTTCTTGGGTTGGTCGGCGCGGCAGGCAGGCGATGTTGGGGCGATCCTCTCGTCTGTCGCCACATTCGGCCAAAGGCAGGGCATTTACTGGATTTTATGTGAGTGATGCTTACTGGCATGGTTTTTGTGCAGGCTGGCAGCATTGGGCAACCCGGCTACACCATGCTATGCCCGTTTGCGTTGGGAGACCTCGAACAAAACAACGGGAACACGCAAACATAGACGACAAACATGAGCTAAGCACGCTGGGGGCCACACGTCGCTGATTCTTCCATTGTTTTCTGCCATGTCGGGTTGTGGGGAACGGGTCGCTGTCGGCCACAAGTCGCTGATACTTGCATTGGTTTTTGCTTGTTGCGGTTTCGGGGGAAGGTCGCAGGCTGATGATGGTTCAACGGTGAGCATCCGGAAGGTGGCAGCGACAGAATGTTGTAGCGAATGGGTACAAATCCACATCAGATCTGCTCCGGCACTGTTTCAAGATACAACCGTCGATTGCGAGCGCCGCAGAGGGAACGATTGGCAGCAATTCCATGAAGGCCACCCGGTCGCATGTTTTCTTAGCACTATGCAATCCTTAATGGTCCGGGTCTCGGGTCGACAAGGGGACCGTTCTCGGACGTCGGTGGAAAGGTGCTCGATGGAAACAAGGGACCACCGGAATTGGGATGCATGTCGTGGATCACGGCGAGGTCATCCAAACGCCACCGAGCAATATACAATGGTCCGTTTTTTTTGGAGCCATGAAACGCAACAAGAAATAAAGACCCGTGAAAGCATTCTCGGGTCTTGGAGTCATGTCTCCGGCTGAGAAATGATTGCTTTTTTACGGTCGAGGGCAATTTTTCAGCACAGAGATTTGCTTAGCGCATGGCGGGGCCGCGACTCGGACCATTGAGACCGGCGGCGCGAAAGAAGATGGAGACTCGATAAATGATGACCGACAGAGAGATGGTGAGATTGAGAGATCCAGAATGCGAGAGCAGTCTTAGAAGGACTCCTGGATGGAGAGAGGGGGAAGGCGTGGTTGGGAAATGATTTCTTCCGGCATTTGGCTTGCACCTGCAAAGGGGGGGCTGGGGTTCGAATCAATGCAGAGGATGAAGCACTTTGCTGCACTCGCCAAGGTCTCGGCTTGACAGCCGTGGCGCTGCGCAGAGCACCGAACTTAATGATGTTTGCACACGGATTCTTACTTTCACCCGAGGGGTCCGCGCATGGTTGCAATCCTGAAAATAGCAGGTATGTGTTCTGCTTATCGTGCCAGGGATATTCTAAATTGAAAAGCCCGGTTGTGCGAAAACGATGTGGGATGCAAAAAACTGGTTGCCGCTTGCAAATGGCAGGCGTGAAGCCGTTGGACCCAAGAAGCTGTACGATCTTCATGGCGAGATGATTTTTATAAAATTGATGCATTCCGCCGGTTGTGAGAGGCACACACCTGTACATTCTGTTCCATGGCAGAGAACACACATGACCGTTGGCGTGTGCAGTTCCTAGCCGTGTAGTTGATTTCCTGAGCACGAAAGATCCTGAATGGGCAGCCTTCGGGCATTCGAGTCTGACTTGAAGACTTCACTCGACGACGACTACGACTTCTCGTGCACTGCTACCATAATTGCTGTACTACTGCTATTGCTGCTGCCGCTACTGCTACTGCTACTGCTACGACGAGGACGACGACTACTACTATTTCTATTACTACTCTCAATACTACTAGTACTAGTACTAGTA